CCCCCTGCGCCCCCCTCCCCTTATTCCGACCGACCGTGGGCCCCCCCCCCCGCTTCTCCCCTGCGCCCCCTTCCCATTATTCCGACCGACCGTGGGCCACCCCCCCCGCTCCCCCCCTGCGCCCCCCTCCCCTTATTCCGACCGACCGTGGGCCACCCCCTCCGCTCCCCCCTTGCGCCCCCCTCCGCTTATTCCGACGCTCGGTGCCCCCCCCCCCCCCCCGATCACCCCCTGGCGCCCCCTCCCTTTATTACGACCAACCGTGCCCCCCCCCCCCCCCTTCCCCTCCTGACGCCCATCCCCTTATTCCGACCGACCGAGTGGGCCCTCCTCCGCATCCCCCCTTGCGCCCCATTCCCCTTTTTGAAGTACATATAAATTAAATATATATAATAAAATTCCGACGACCGGGGGCTCGCCCCCCCCCCCCCCCCTGCGCCCCCTTCACCTTATTCCCGACCGACCGTGGCCCCCCCCCCCCGCTCCCCCCCTGCGCCCCCCTCCCCTTATTTCCGACCGACCGTGGCCCCCCCCCCCCCGCTCCCCCCCTGCGCCCCCTCCCCTTGTTCCGACCGGCGCTCCCCCCCACCGCACCCCCCCCTGCAATCCTCTTCTTTATCCCGACCGACTGTGCCCCCCCCCGCCCCCCCCCCCTGCGCCCCCGTCCCCTTATTCCGACCGACCGTGCTCTTAGGTGGCCCTGAGGGCGGCGCCCAGGAGGAACACCATCTCTGACCCGATTGCCCAGGGCTGGCTCGGAGTACTTTTCGTCTGGGGACCCCCAGGGACCCCCCCGCGCGCGCGCGAACTAGAAATATTCGGAAGCAGTTCCCGGAGATCTTAGCACGCCCGTGGCCCATGGGGCCGGCGACTTTCTTCGCAGGATGCGACAGGGCCCAACGCACCCTTACCTCTGCAAGCGCCGTGGGGGGTTCCATAGCCGTGGCGATTCTTTCTGTAGCCGTTTTGGCTCCACCATGCCGCCTTCCGTCGTGAGGAAGCGGCCGGCCGCGGGCTCCGCGCTCCCTCCGCGGCCTGCCCGCAGTGTGGCGCGACGTCGTCCTGCTGCCGCCCCCACTGCAGCCCTCTTATCCAAGCCAGACGTTGCCCCACGCAAGCGGCGCCGCAACGCTGCGTACGCCGCCAAAGAAGCAGCCCGAGAGAAGGCGCGCCGCGCTGCTGCCACCGCCGCGCAAGCCGCGGCAGCTACTGCAGGCGCCCCCGCACCCCACCCGGAGGCTGCCCGAAGCGCCAAGAGGCGAGCTGCTATCACCGCCGCGCAAGCCGCGGCAGCTACTGCAGGCGCCCCTGCATCCCACCCGGAGGCTGTCCGAAGCGCCTCTGGGACCCTTCCGAGGCGACCCCGGCGGACAGGCCAGGCGGCCGGGAAGCTCGCCGCCGCCCGCCGCTCGGTGAGCGAGCCTCGGGCCCGAGGCGAGGATGAGTGGCCTGGGCCAGCCTCGGGTCGGAGGCGAGGACGGTGAGGCGGAGGAGGAAGCGGAGGGGGAGGGGGAGGAGGCGGAGGTGGAGGGGGAGGAGGAGGACGAGAAGGAGGAGGACGAGGACGCAGCGTGCCCGGCCGCATGCCGACGGCGAGGGCGACTCCGCCGCCACGCGCCGCACCGCCCCAGAAGGTGGAGAGAGGGGGAGGACAAGGAGGAGGTCGAGAACCAGCAGGAGGAAGAGAGGCGGGACAGGAGAAAGTGGAGGTGAGGAGGGGGAGAAGGAGGACGAGACAGAGGACAAGCGACCTTCCTCCATACCCAAACTGACATGCTTCTAGCCGCCCCTTCCCGTCTTCGAATCTGTCCCTTGCCAACGTGTCGCAGCAATTGCGGCACGCTTCCCGGCGCCTGCCAAGGACTGCCTCCCTCGCGATCCCTGGTTTTCTCCATCTCCCATGGGCCCACATCGTCATTGTATGATCCTTGGCACGCGTGCCCCTTGTTATTTTGGGCGGCGCCCTCCGGCGATATCGTTAGCACATAAAAAATAACAACAAAATAATTAATTATTTTGCCCCCCCCCCCCCCGGGCCCGAAGCTGGCGGCAACGTGAGCCGACAACCTGAAGAACCAATGCCAATTAATTAATTATGTTTGTGGAGTCAGTTTGCTGAAATGCGACATGAGCCGCACCCGACCTCCCCAAACAGCCGGCGCCTCGATGGCTGCACGTGGTGGGCCCCTTGAGCTCCCGACCCTATCACGGGGACCGGCTGTTCAGCCCTGATTGGGCGTCGACGAACCTGGCTCAGCAGAAGCCCGGCTCAACGAATCGAAGGATTGCAAAAAAACCCAGGATTGCAAACAAAAAAAAAAACCTTCGAATGATTGCAAAAAAACCCTTCGTTTTTTACAATCCTTCGTCTTTTTTGCAATCCTTCGAAGAACTGCGCTGCACTTTTGCGGGGGGGCTTCCGACGCCCGGCCCAGCCGAAGAAAGAAGGCCACCTCGAGGGCCGCGAGCGGCTCCCCGAGCCGGCTCAGCCAAAATCTGGCCTCGCAGGATCCTGCAGGATCCGGCGCCCTGGCTGAGCTCCGTTTGCGCTGAGCCCCATTACCTGCTGGCTGACCCGAGTCGTTCGACGGCCCCAGGTCCCGGTGAGGGCACCCAGCAGCCAAAAATATCCCCAGCCACTGTTTTTCTCGACAACGAGAAACGGTCTGGGTCGACACGTGGCCACTCCCACCCTCAAGGGCACCTTGGCACGCTCAGAATGGGCACGGAGAATAAATGGCACGATACCCAGCAGCTAATGTTGTCCCAGAAGCGACAGCAGCCTTCGTAGGACAGGCGACTCTGTATGTCTCAAACGGACAGGGCCCTCGGCGACACCGACAACCAGCCTTGCCCAAGATGGGGAAGAACTGGCGACGGCCTTCGCCCCCAATCGTTCGGCACAGTCGACCCGTATCATGAAGATGCGCGGCAAGGATGCCAAGGCCTTGGAGGCTCGTGTGAACGCGTCCCGAACGAGGCTGGTCAGCGAACGTCGCAGGGATGGGCCCAAGGGGCACGGATGCAAGGGCTTTGTGGGCCCCGGAAACGGCAGGGCCGGTTTTTCACCGTTTTGCCGTTTTCACGGCAGAAAACGGCGACCGGAAACGGCACAAAAACGGCTCCAGGATTGGAACCGGAGCCGGAACTGGTCAAAAAACGGCGACGGAACCGGTAAAAAAAACGGCGTCGGAACCGGTAAAAAAACGGCAAAACGGAACCGGTAACAAAAACGGCCCTGTCGTTTCCAGGGCCCAAGGGTACCCTTGGGAAGTTTGCCCATCCTTACCCTGCGGGCTGACTGCAGCCCGCCTGCATCGCACCGATCAAGTGCACCGGCACTGCAGGCCGCTGCCGCCCAGGACCCCTGGCTCCCTATCGCTCGGACGTCCATTCCCTGTGCTTTTTGTGTCGGCTCCGTGCGTGGTTTTCTTTTCGCAGGATGCTCCAGGATGCTCCTTAAGAATCCCCGCCGAGACAAAAAGCACACGTCCGAGCGATACCAAGGGGGAGCCGACGGGGCCCGTCCCTGTGGCGCCGGGAGGGGGCACGCCAGCGCGCGGGCGCGCGGGCGCGCGCGCGCGCGCGGGCGGCGGCCTTCTTGAGGCCCAGCGACGCCGAGCCCCACACGGAGGGCCTGGGCTCGGCGGCAAGCCGAGGGGGGGGAAGCCGGAGGGGGCGGGCCTCCTCCGAGGGCGGCGGGGCTCTTCGGAAGCCCTCTGCCCTCCAGAGGAGCCCCCGGTGTGGCTTCGGAGGAGGCTTCGACTGGCCATCGCCCGGACGTCCATTCCCTGTGCTTTGTTAGGTCTCGCGCGTGGCATTTAGCCACATGATCAAGGATGCTCCTCGATGATCCTCGCCGAAAGAACAAAATGCACAAGTCCGAGGCCGGACACCCTCTGAGCCTCGCGAGGAGGCCCGCGCACCCTTCGCCCGCCCCCCTGGGCGCGCCGCCGATGGGCCCACGCTGTGGGATTGACCATGCCCTCTGGAGGCGTGCCACCACGGACCTCGCGGAGCGTTGGAGGCGGACACCTTCCCGCCCCACCTCCAACGCTGCACGGCATCCTCGGAGGCACGTCTCCGAGTCGGCAGGCGCGGACAAATCTCCGGCGTGGGCTCGAGGGCGAGGAAGGGAGGAGCAGGAGAAGGGTAGGGTCGTGGACCGCGGTGCGGGTGCGCCTTTTGCTTTCTCCTTGAGCGTCCGGGGGCCTCCGCAGGACCTCAACCTCAGCCGGACTGTGGGACTTCGGGAGGCCTCCAGAGAACTCCACAGACCTCAAAACTTCCCTTCTTCACGAATGAGATCGTGACGGCTGGTGGTTACTCATGCTGGGCCTGTACGGGGCCCATCTCGGGACCCAGGTTTCGTCAAAATTAAATCCGAGATGAAAGCCCGGGTCGCAAAAGCGGGCTTGGGTTCCCTCTGAAAGGGAAGAAGCACCAAACCTCCTCCACCTCCTCCTCCTCCTCCTCCTCCTCCTCCTCCTCCTCCTCCTCCTCCTCCTCCTCCTCCTCCTCCTCCTCCTCGTCCTCCTCGTCTCCTCCTCCTCCTCCTCCTGTGCGCTCCTCCGCCTCCTCCTCCTCCTCATCCTCCTCCTCCTCATCCTCCTCCTCCTCCTCCTTCTCCTCCCCTCATCATCATCATCATCATCATCATCATCATCATCATCATCATCATCATCATCATCATCATCATCAGCATCATCATCATTATTAGCATCGTCATCGTCATCGTCATCCATCACCATCAGCATCATCATATAACCATCAACATCATCATCATTATCGTCATCATCAGCAGCATCAGCATCATCATCATCGTCGTCATCGTCATCATCATCATCCGAATCGCATCATCAAATCATCATCATCATCCTCACCATCAGCAGCAACACCATCATCACAATCAGCATAATCGTCGTCATCATCATCACCAACAACACAGCAACAACACTATCACCATCATCATCAGCATCATCGTCATCATCAGCAACAACACAACAACAAACAACACTATCACCATCATCATCATCAGCATCAGTATCCTCATCATCAGCATCAACAACACCATCACCACGATCATCATCAACATCATCAGCATCATCACCACCATCATTAGCATCATCAGCATCAGCATCAACGTCGAAGTCGTCGGCAGCAGCATCAGCAGCAGCATCAGCATCAGCATCGTAAGCAACAGCATCTTCATCACCATCACGAGCACCAGCACCATCATCAACATCATCATCAACATCATCATCACCAGCAGCATCCTCATCATGATCAGCATCGTCATCATCAGCAGCATCATCCTCAGAATCGTCATCATCAGCAGCATCATGATAAGCAGCAGCATCATCACCATCGCTAGCACCAACACAATCACCATCAGCATCATCATCGGCAGCATATAATCCTCATCAGCATGAGCATCATCATCATCATCATCAACATCATCATCATCACCATCAGCATCATCGTCATCGTCATCGTCATCATCGTCATCATCATCATCCTCATCATCATCGTCTTCATCATTACCATCATCATCACCATCAGCATCATCACCATCATCATCCTGTTCCTCTTCCTCGTCCTCATGGCGAGGATGAGGCAGGGGAGGAAGCGAGGAGGAGGAGTACGAGGAAGAAGGCGAAGAAGAGAAGGGCTCGAGGATCGGTGCGTGTGTGTGTGTGTGTGTGTGTGTGTGTCTGTGCGTGCGCGTCACAACCCTGCGCTGCCTGGCGGACTCTGGGGGGCGCGCCCTCGTCGCCACGGCTGGATCCACCTCGAGGTCTTGGTCGGCGAGTCCTCCCGGACAGGCTCGGGGGGCCCGACGCGCGGCCAGGATCAAAGGCGCAGCGTGTAAAGTCATGCAGGGCATGCTGCAGCGATGCCCGGCGTGTCGCGGCGGCGGCCCCACGACGTCGCCCCGCTTCGCGGGGCGGGAGGCTGGGAGAAGCTGGAGACGTCGACGCAGCGGGGCCGGGACGTCGCAGCGTGGCGGACCAGAACTGGCGACGCGACGCCAGAGGCCTCCTAGATGGGGTCGGAGTAGATGGGGTCGGAGGATTGCGCCGTCTCGCCGATACATCGGTGATACATCGGCGATGCATCGGCGATGGATCGGCGATGCACCAGCGATGCATCGTCGACGTCGGCGATGCATCGGCGACGTTGACGTGAAGCAAAGCGGGCTGCACATCGAGCCGCATCGGCGATGCATCGGCGATGCGGCGCGATCCTCCGACCCCATCTACTCCGATCCCATCTAGGAGGCCTAGAGACGCGCTAAACAAACGTTCCTGACCGTATGCTGCGCACGTAACTTGCGTATCGGGTCTGAGGAATGTGCATCCACGAGTCGTGCATGGGTGTCGCTCGTCGGTCTCGGGGGTCCTCTCGGTCCCCTGAGCGTCACTGAAAAGATCACGGCGGGCGTCCCGCAAGCTCAGCCTCCGGGGAGCCGCCTTCGGTCCGCAGGGCCGTCAGAAATCGACCCGCGGCGCAAAAACGCTCCCGAGGACTGGGTGTTCTTCCCCCCCGCTTCCCATATTTGAAGGGGCCCTGGGACACACAAACAACAGAATCCCCAACATCTTCCCACATTTTCTGGGCTTTCGTCTTCCCGCCATTCCCCATCTTTTCACATAAATCTCTGGCGGGAAATAACTAGACGATGAATTGTGTCTCTGTGTGTGTTTTTCCCTCCCGGATCTTCTCCCACATGTTCCCTGGGAGTCGAAGATTCATTGCGTCTGTGCGCTTTGGCTCCTCATGACCTACGTCGGGTCGGGCGAAAGTGGGGGATAGCAAAGGGGGGGTTTGAGAATCAGCTCACGTAGCTGATTTGCCCGGCGCCTCCCGGCGCCGGAGGCGGCTATGTATCGAGGAATGGGCCCCTCGGTGGGGCCGAAACCAGCTGCATGCAGCAGATTTCGTAACCCCCCCTTTCCCAATCCCCCCCTTTCGTCCGGCCCGACTAAGGCGCCCCCACGTGCGGGCGCGCCTGGCCGCCGGCGCCGGCGCGGGCCCCCCCCGCGCCGGCGGCAGGAACTCCGGGCGCCTCTCCTGCCGCGGGGCGTGCTGCCAACCGGCCCCGAGCACCGCCTCCCGTGTCCCAGGCTCGGGTGTGGACAGACCCCCCTTTAGCAAAACGTGGTTTAGTGAAAACAACAAGCTCTTCGAACCCGGAAAAGAACATAAACCATGTTCTTAGAACAGAAACCCGATGTGCTCAAACGAGACAGACTCCGCCAGAAGTGCTCTAAGAACATTTCGTGGAAACCACAAAAGGGTCTTAGAACACTGTTCGGTAGGGCTATATCGGGGATGGACAGACCCCCCGTTAGCAAAACGTGGTTTGGTGAAAACGACCTGAGGCCCAAATCTGGCGGGCGCAGGCCTGGAAAAGGACGGCCACGGCGCCCTCCCGAGAACCGGAAGCGGACAATTCACTGATCGACGTGTCACTGTGGGGGGTTCTGTCCAGCCCCGACAGAGCCCCCCTCGAGTCATGAAGAAATCACGACGGGAGGTTTTTCGCCATTTTCCGCCTCTGGGGGCCCCTGCCGGCCTCGGGGGGGCTGTCAGAGAACGACTCGGGATGAACAACCGGCCTCGGGGAATGGGTCCAAACCGCTGGGGGTCGACGCCATGAAAAAGTCACGACGTCGGGGGTCTGGGGTTGGTGGCGCGACGATGGAGGAAGTGAGAGGGGGGCAGGCCTTGGCAGAAGGCGGGGGGGGTGCTTCTCAAGAGCCCTCCGGCTACCTACCAAGCCGCCCCAACCCAGCCCGAAGATCCCCCTTTTCGGGTTGAGAAGGGGCGCGGGTTCCACGTGTGTTTTTTCGATGTTGCCAGACACACACACACACACCCGCTGGAAATGGAGCTGGGGTGGCCTGGTGGGTGGTGACCCTCTGGCCTTCTACGAAGCCCTCTGCGGTTTCGGAAGAGGCTCAGGCAGCTTGTCAGAGGGCAGGAGGACCTCTGAGGCTTCTGAAAAAAGGGACGCCCCTCTGCCCCTGGGCGCGCCGCCGATGACGAGCCCGACGACATCCAAAGAGATAGAGACAAACAAGACGGAAATATGCTCTCGTTTTCGGCATCTGGAGTCCGCTTCCGGGCGCGAAGCGACTTGGCAGGAAAAACGGCTCCCAGAATAATTCCTGGACGGCCAGGGAAACTGAAAGGGAGCGCCAAGACGGCGCAGGAGGGACCCAGGACGGCCCAAGGGGGCCCCAACGGACTCGTAAACATGACCTGCTGCTCATCACCTTCTCTCTCTCTCTCTCTCTCTCTCCTCATCATCATCATGACGCCTCCCTTCCACTACAAGATTGGGGCAGGTTTCGCCCCCTTCGCCTCGTGACAGCGATCGATGTTTGCGCAAAGGCCCAACGGGGCCCCAAAACGGCGCAAGAGGCCCCCAAGACGGAACCAAAACTGCCCCAGCTACGGGAGCAGTCGTGAGCACAGAAGGGGGAAGCACGAACGGAGTGGGAGGCGAGTCCCTGTTATTGGGCGCCTCTGGGATTTCTTAGAGGCCCTTGTGGACCGTCGCGGGGCCCAGTTGGACCGTTTTGGGGGCCCTTGTGGGCTGTCTCGGGGGGCTCTGGACGTCGTGGGGCTCTGCTGGGGGTTTCTTGGGGCGGTCTTGGGGCTTTCTTGGGAACCCCTTGGGGTCGTCTGGGCCGTCTCGGAGCTCTCTTGGGCCGTCTTGGGGCTATTTTGGGCCGTCGTGGGCCTCTCTGGGGCTGCCTTGGGGGGGCCTCTTGAGCCGTCCTGGAGCCTTGGACAACAAAAAAGCGAGCACGGTTGAAAATGCACGTTTTACTAAAGGAATGGAACGATGTTGGCTTGTTTGGCGTTCTCTTCCGGGCTCTTCGGGGCGTCTTGGGGGGGGCCTCGTGGACCGTCTTGGAGCCACCTGGAGGCCTTTTTGGAGCGTTTTGGAGGTCTCCTGAGCTGTCGTGGAGCCATTTGAGGCCGTCTTGGAGCGCTCTTGGGCCGTCTTCGAACCGTATTGGACCTTTTGGGGGGCATATGAGCCGCCCAGGGTGGTCGAAATTCGCTCTGTGGGGGGGGGGAGCCTGGCGTTCTAAGAATACGGAAATCGGGAATGCATATATATATACACACACACACATACACATATACATATATATATATATATATACATGCGTATACATATACATATACATATACATAAATGTATACATGAATATATGTATATTTCTATCCGCCGGCCTCCTTGTGAGGCCACAAGGCTGTAGGACTAGGTTGCTGATTCCTGCGCCAGTTGCAGTGTCAAGTCTTCAAAGTTACAGTGTTACAGTCCTGGTTTCTGCTTCCTACTGTAAATTGTTCAAGTCCGCGCGAGGGGGGGGCGGGTCCAAACCGGCAATGTACCACGCCCAAACAATATTTGCGTCCCCGAGGCCTTAACCCTTGCAAATGACGCCCTATTCGCATTGCCGAGGCCAAGAGTGCTCCAAGGCGCACGAACATTAATTCCAGACGGCCCAAGATGGCCTCAAGAGGCCCCAAGAGAGCTCCAAGAGGCTTCCCGAGAGAGCCCCAAGAGAGCCCCAAAAGGTTTTGTGGGATTTGGGCCTTCTCGCATTTTCGGCTGTTTGACGCTCCAAGACGGCTCAAGAAGCTCCCAAGACCGCTCCAAGACAGCTCAAGACGCGTTCAAGAGGGCCCCCAGACGGTCCAAGAGGGCTCCAAGAAGCTCCGACAAGCCCCCAGGAGGCCCCAAGAGGCCGCCAAGAGGCCCCGAGAGGACCCCAGAGGCGCCCAAGACGCGCCCAAGACGCCTCCAAGAGGCCCCAAAGATACCCCACGAAGCCCCAGAGGCCCCCAAGAAGCGCTCAAACCGCCTCCAAAGACCTCAGACCCACAACCCAGGCACGGTAGGGGGATGAGCGGAAAGCCATTAGAATAACGCCAACGTCTCGATATGCGCTGATGATTCCGATCCGCCCCCGCATGATACTCCCAGATGCGCCAAGGCAGCGCCGTGACGCACCGACGCGACTCTGCTATATTCCAGTATGGTAGAGAGGGGGCCAGCGGCCTGGGGCGAAGCCCTATATCTATATATATAATATACATGCATACATACATACATTCATACATACATACATACATACATACATGCATGCATGCATACATACATACATACATACATACATACACACATACATATACACCATATACAAGACTGCATTGGCGCTGCGCGCCATGCACCTTGGCCGTTTGAGTTCTGCACGCAAGCGGAATGCGTGTGTGCGTACATGCGCGCATGCATGTATACACGCGCACGTGCATGCACGTTCCGTATAAATGCCTAGGTGTATACAATATACTTACATTGCTGTATATGTATACAGCGTATACATGTGTACATATAATTTTATGTGTGTAAGGGTATGTACATGCATCTGCAACTCGTACGGGGCATCCTCGGGCATCTTCGCTGCATGCCACGAGACCCTCAACGACTGGGTCACACTGTGAAATGTCATGGGAGCAAAATCAATTAATGCTGGCATTCGGAAACATCGTGGGGGTGTTTTCGGGGCCCTCGTGGGCCGCTTTTGGCGCCTTCATGGGCCGTCCTGGGACCTTCTTGGGCCGTCTTGGGGAGCATGGGCCCGCTGGAGCCCCCTGTGGACCCATCTTGGGCACTTCCGGGGACCTCCCATGGCCCTTTTGGGTCTGTGCTGGGAGCCCTTGGGGGGCCTCTTGGTTCTATTATGGGCTGTCTTGGGGCTCTCGTGGGCGATCGTGGGGCCCGGCTCGGCCGTCTTGAAGCTGTCATGGGGGCCTTTTAGGGCGTCTTGAGGCGGTCTCGGGGGCTTTGAAACCGTCTTGAAAGCTGATGAAATCCGAAAGGCGAATATGCTAAAATTGTATGTTTAACGAGGGGAATGGGACGACTTTTGTGTTTTGAAAGCCCATTGGAAAGCTTTTTGGGGTGCCTTGGGGGTCTTTATGTTGGCATTCGGAAACATCGTGGGGGTGTTTTCGGGGCCCTCGTGGGCCGCTTTTGCGCCTTCATTAGCCGTCCTGGGGCCTTCTTGGGCCGTCTTGGGGGAACTTGGGGCCGCTGGAGTCCCCTTTGGACCCATCTTGGGCACTTCCGTGGACATCCCATGGCCTTTTTGGGTCTGTGCTGGGAGCCCTTGGGTGGCCTCTTGGTTCCATTATGGGCTGTCTTGGGGCTCTCGTGGGCGATCGTGGGGCCCGGCTCGGCCGTCTTGAAGCTTTCTTGGGGGCCTCTTGGGGCGTCTTGAGGAGATCTCGGGGGCTTTGAAACCGTCTTGAAAGCTGATGAAATCCGAAAGGCGAATATGCTAAAATTGTAAGTTTTACGAGGGGAATGGGACGATGTTTGTGCTTTGAAGGCCCCTTGGAAAGCTTTTTGGGGTGCCTTAGGGGTCTTTTGGGCCGTCCTGGCGCAATTGGAGTCCCTCTTGGAGCGCTCTTGTGCTGTCTGGGGCCTCCCTTGAGCCTGTCTGATGACCCCATCGGATCGCTCTGGGGCTGCTGGCAAGGCGTTTGTGGAGACCCGGAAAGCCAGGTGACCTTTTCCAAGGACGTCCAAGGGAGCCCGAGAACCCCAGATCCCGGGGGTCCAGTTTTTTTTATTGGGGGGGGTGAGGGTTTCCCCCCCCTGGGCTTGCAAAACTATAGGAAGAGGAACATATATCTATCTATATATATATATGTATGTATATATGTATGTATGTATGTATGTATGTATGTAGGTAGGTAGGTAGGTAGGTAGGTAGGTAGGTAGGTAGGTAAATATACATACATATATACATATATGTACATGCATACATACATACATACATACATGCATACATACATACATACATACATACATGCATGCATGCATACATACATACATACACAATCAAACAAACATACATACGTACATACATACATACATACATACAGACGTACTGATAGGCAGACAGACAGACAGACAGACATACTGACATATATATATATATATATATAGTTATACATATATGCAAACATGTATACATACA